CACCGCGCCACCACCAACACCAGCAGCAGGTCCCTAAAAAATAAATCAGCGATTGTAGTAGAAGTGAGAGACGCCGAAACTTACTGCCAATGATGGCGGCACAGCAGCCCCGCGACCAGCAGGGCGGGCAACACCAGGGCCAGCACTGAGAGTAGATGCGATGCCGCCAGTTGCGCTCTTGCCCAGGCGAGCGCTAGGGTCCGCAGGAGGCTCCGACTCGACCGACAGCGAGACGATCTGAGCGCCTCGGACAATCGTAAGGCCCAAGGTCCTTTTCTCCTCCGACTCGACAGTCTGGCCAGAGCCGCTCGCGCCAGGTGCGGAGGGCTTGTTCTGCTTGCGCTTGACGCGTCGGAACTCTTCCGTGTCGGCGAGGACGAGGTTCATGTGCTGTCATGTCATCAGCGGGAGCTACGGGGGAAGCGGTGGAGGACGGAGTTGCGGACCTTGTCAAACGCAAGCATCTGACCGGTCATCTGGCGACCGTCGTTCAGAGTGACTCTCATCCGGTAGTTGATCTAGCATGGCGTCAGTAGGTCTCGATCGCGACTTCGAAAGGATGCTCATGGAGCCTTGCACCGTCCGGAGGTACATACGTAGCCGGCCTAAAGAGAGATCGCGTCAAGTCAGCCTACATTGTCAACCTCAAGCTTCAAAGGAAGTCGGTGGGGGAAGACCACTCACCATCTTCCCCTGTTTGTTCGCCATGATTGCGGTTGGAAAGCGAGTTGCCGCGAGTGCAGCTTCTCAAGAGGTTCAAAAAATGGTCCTTTGCGTGCAGATGTCGGGTGACGTCTGCGACCTTCAAGTGCTGTGCTTTCGCGGAGCTCGTTGGAGGTCAAGGGTGGGTGGATATGGCTTCCAATGAGAGTTGGGAAATTTCCCTCGGGAGGCTGAAGGCAGACAGAAGGCTGAAGCTCCGACAGGCTGCTGGTGGGGGAAACGTGAGCTCGAAGTGCTGGCAGCCGGCAGTAACAATCACCAGCTGGTGCACTAGTCCACTTCAGGCCCCTCTATAGTGGGGTCGTCGCCCACCTGGGCGCAAGGGCTTTGGGGCTGCAAAACCCTCTTGAATTTCGAACGACTCTCAAGTTCCCGATCTTTTTGCCAGCAACTTCACGCCCAGTGACCAGCGCCCACGACAAGTCCGACCATCAACTACCGTCGACCACCCCAACCGCCAAAATGTCCGAGAAGGCCGCCAACCCCATGAGGGAGCTTCACCTCCAGAAGCTCGTCCTCAACATTTCCGTCGGAGAGTCTGGTGACAGGCTCACCCGTGCCGCCAAGGTGCTTGAGCAGCTTTCTGGTCAAACCCCCGTCTACAGTAAGGCACCCACGACGAGAGCAGCAGTGTGCGCATGAATCTGACAACAATCAATAGGCAAGGCTCGCTACACCGTCCGTACCTTCGGTATCCGTCGTAACGAGAAGATTGCTGTCCACGTCACCGTCCGTGGCCCCAAGGTATGCCTTTCTTCCAACTGTCGCACATTCGTGTACACAATTGTCGCTAACCGGTATGTCTACAGGCCGAGGAGATCCTCGAGCGTGGCCTCAAGGTCAAGGAGTACGAGCTCCGCAAGCGCAACTTCTCCGAGACCGGCAACTTCGGCTTCGGTATCTCTGAGCACATCGATCTCGGCATCAAGTACGACCCCTCCATCGGTATCTACGGCATGGACTTCTACGCCTGCATGACCCGCAAGGGTGAGCGCGTCGCCACCCGCAGGCGCTGCAAGGCCAAGATCGGCTCCAACCACAAGATCAAGCGTGAGGAGACCGTCAGGTGGTTCAAGCAGCGCTTCGACGGCATTGTCCGGTAAATGCGCAAATGGACAATGACACTTTTTATGGGATGGCTTAACGGATTCTGGGTCACGGGCGAAAAGGAAAAGGGCTTACCGGCGTGTATTTCCCGCTGCTTGCAGCAACTTCATCAAGCTTGATTTACGAGTAATCGTCACAAGCTACGGCCTCAGAGACCGACCGGCGTAATGCCGGCTTCCACCCTGCTTGCAGTCCCAGTGCGTAGAGTGATGTGAAATGCGAATTGGCCTAATACAAGTCCGAAAGTGGCTTGTCGACTGTGCTGTAGAGATTTGGTTCCTGCCACTTTCCAACGGGTTCTCTGCAGACCTGCACCTCGTTTGGGAAGCATTTACCACCTTGACATCAGAGCATCATCGGCGAATGGCCATGTGCGTCTATCCTTCGATGCGCGAAGTGGCTTCAATGGTGCTGCGCCGTCGTCAATTGAAGCTCATCATCAACTTCACTGTGATATGGTGTAGGTCATTCGCACATGCATTGTGTGTTGGGGTTGACAATGTGGAGGCATCGCGCTGCCTCAGTGTTTGTCCTTCGGATCCTGGACCACATATGCTCAATTTCTACGGACTACACATGTCTGACATGGCGACAGCATACTGTGAATGCTACTCGCAAGATACTGCTGTCTGCTCTGTTCATTCACCAGTATCTCCTTATGTGTCCACGCGCTCACTTCCACGACTGATTGATATGAACCGCGGGCAAGATGGAAAAATCGTGGCGTCAAAGGATGAATAGCTTTTCAATAAATGAATTTGTTTTTTGAGGTTCTGCATATGAACGAGATACATTATTGGGAAGCCGTGATCGTGAGATGAATCTGAACATGTACAGCTCACACAACACGCAATATTCAGACCTTTCACCACGTGCATGTTTATCTCCGTGATCAAGATGAACCTATTTAGAGTCAATCTCCCAAAATCCTTGACCAAGCCGAACACGACTGAGGACCCACGATGTCCTAGTCGAAAGCTCGAGCCGCCGTTGAGAGAGCCGTGATGAGAGAGCCTGGGAAGTCAGGCAGGTTGAGGGCAACCTAAGGGTTTCAGGCCAACGGTGCAGTTTGGTAGTTTGAGTGCTCGGGGCTGAGCATAATCCGATCCGGTGCCCGAGGTCGGGCGTTCGGTCGGGCAGGCAACGAGCGGCCTCAAGCAGTGGGAAGGGCATCGCCGCTCTGGCCTGGCGATGCACGAAGAAAAAAGATATTGAAGCGAAGGAAAAAATCTAGTAAAAGAAAGTCCGAGGCATCACGACCTCCAACGATCAGAGTTTAGGCCATAACGTCGCTGAGAGACGAGGCTGGCTAGGTGATCAGGCTTCCAAGGCACCCATCGGGAAGGGCAGGACCACGCCTAAATGAGAATTGTTAGGGAGTTTCCGGGCTGACTGAGGTAAAACTTCGCGGATACCTGCTGATTGGCCGGTTCGGCCAGCTCCCACTCCACTCGATCCTTTCCTGCTCCATCTCCCTCTCACCTTTTCCCTCTGCCGGGTCTTCCTCCAAAAAAGACTCCATTTGCACTCCTGCAAAGGCACCATCAACACCCCCAATCTCCCCTCAAACTCAATTGCACCTGTTGCAATTGATTCTCCCTCGATCTAGACAGCGTCGACGATCCTCCTAATATGTTCCGCAACGCCCTCCGCCAGTCGACGCGCGCCGTCGGTGCGGTCTCTGCCGCCGGCAGAGTCGGTGCCGTAAGTCGTCCTCCCCTTAGCCCGAAAACCATCTCCAATCCATCGAAAAACATGGTCGGCCGTGTCGGAAGTCATCCACGAGCTCTTTGCAAGCTCAATTGGGGGTTTGAAGCCGGTCGCGGCGTCGTGGGCAAGCTTTTCATGAGCTCCCTTGACGCCCTGTTGTCCTTGTCGTTGGGGGCGACACCATAGCACTTTCGGGGCTTCGGCTAACTTGATTTTCAACCGCCCAGACTCGAAATGCCGCACCCGCCATCAACGCCGCGATCCAGGTCCGAACCTACGCTGAGGCCAAGGCCTCGCCGACCGAGGTCTCTTCGATTCTCGAGCAGCGCATCCGTGGTGTCCAGGAGGAGTCCAACCTTGCCGAGACTGGCCGTGTCCTTTCCGTTGGGTACGTTTTGCCCGAGCATCAATCAGCAGAGGGGAATTGGAGGACTCTGTAGTGTCTACGGCACTCTGGAGCCTTCAATGACTTTTTGCGACGAAGTGCATCGTCGAATTGTTTCGCTGACGAAATTTTTCTCGCATAGTGATGGTATCGCCCGCGTGCACGGTATGGCCAACGTCCAGGCTGAGGAGCTTGTCGAGTACGTTCATCCATTTCACGATCAATTCCGCACCGCCATCTAACTAGTTTCTAGGTTCGCCTCTGGCGTCAAGGGCATGTGCATGAACCTCGAGGCTGGCCAGGTCGGTGTCGTGCTTTTCGGTTCCGACCGTCTCGTCAAGGAGGGTGAGACTGTCAAGCGTACCGGCGAGATTGTAAGCATCAATCGTTTGTTTACCGACTAACAACAATTGCTAATACATACTAGGTTGAGGTCCCTGTCGGCCCCGAGCTGCTCGGTCGTGTCATCGACGCTCTCGGCAACCCCATCGATGGCAAGGGTCCCCTCAACACCAGCGAGAAGCGCCGTGCCCAGCTCAAGGCCCCCGGCATTCTGCCTCGCCAGTCCGTCAACCAGCCTGTGCAGACTGGTCTGAAGTCCATCGACGCCATGGTTCCCATTGGCCGTGGCCAGCGTGAGCTGATTATCGGTGATCGTCAGACCGGTAAGACTGCTGTCGCCCTGGACGCTATGCTCAACCAGAAGCGTTGGAACAACTCCAACGACGAGGAGAAGAAGCTCTACTGCGTCTACGTCGCCGTCGGCCAGAAGCGTTCCACCGTTTCTCAGCTCGTCAAGACCCTCGAGGAGAACGACGCTATGAAGTACTCCATCGTCGTCGCCGCCACCGCCTCCGAGGCCGCCCCCCTCCAGTACATCGCCCCCTTCACCGGTGGTAAGTCTTGAACCATTCTTACACATTGAATAATAGCTAACTGGAGCTCAAAGCTGCTGTGGCTGAGTGGTTCCGTGATAACGGAAAGCACTCTCTCGTCATCTACGACGATCTCTCGAAGCAGGCCGTCGCTTACCGCCAGATGTCTCTTCTTCTCCGTCGTCCCCCCGGACGTGAGGCTTACCCCGGTGACGTCTTCTACCTCCACTCTCGTCTTCTTGAGCGCGCCGCCAAGATGAACAAGAAGCTCGGTGGTGGCTCCATGACTGCTCTGCCCATCATTGAGACCCAGGGTGGTGACGTCTCGGCCTACATTCCCACCAACGTCATTTCCATCACTGACGGCCAGATCTTCCTCGAGTCTGAGCTGTTCTACAAGGGTATCCGTCCCGCCATCAACGTCGGTCTTTCCGTCTCGCGTGTCGGTTCCGCTGCCCAGCTCAAGGCCATGAAGCAAGTCGCTGGCTCGCTCAAGCTCTTCCTGGCCCAGTACCGTGAGGTCGCCGCCTTCGCCCGTTTCGGTTCCGACTCGGACGCCGCCACCAAGCAGACCCTTGCCCGTGGTGAGCGTGTAAGTTATTGCTCAGTCCCTGTGTGAACGGAAATCGTGTGCTAATCCCATCACAGTTGACCGAGCTCCTCAAGCAGAAGCAGTACTCTCCTCTTGGTGTCAACGAGATGGTCCCCATCATCTACGCTGGTGTTAACGGCCACATCGACAACATTCCTGTCGACAAGATTCTTCAGTGGGAGTCTGACTTCCTCAACCACCTCAAGACCAACGAGGCTGACCTCCTGGCGACCATCGACAAGGAGGGCGCCCTCAGCAAGGACCTCGAGGCCAGGCTCAAGGACGTTACCCAGACGTTCGTCAAGAGCTTCCTCGGTTAAGCGGCCACTCGTGGTGTAATAAACGGTCCGACATGGTGCACGGGGGAAGAAGCTGTCTATACCGAAGTGATTTCTGTTTTTCCGTAGAAGCGGGAGGACGACTCGAAGGGTGCACCGGGCTGGGAGAAGCACCTGGGGAAGCGATCTGGGGCGCGATTCTCCAGTCGAACCACTGTAAAATAGAGCTCAAGACTCAATTAACGCCCTCGATTCCTTTTGTCCTCGAACAGCTGATCTCTGTTCCGTCTGTAGCCCGTTTTAGTATTGGAGCTGTACTTTTCTGTCGTATTCGCCCATCGGGCCTTTGGCTCCGGCGCACCGTTGCATCGTCGTGACATCATTGCTTTCCACCCGAGCTGCGCTTGCCTTCTTCAAACCCATTCTTCCATCTTGCCTTCATTTGTTGAAATCCATACTTCAGACGATCTTGCTGATGACAGTGTAACTGCCTGATTTGAACACCAGGGCACCATTTTATCCGAGGTCGCTTCATCCACCATCCATTTTCTTTCCCCGCCTCCATCACTCATCCATCCCAACCACCGACTCGCGGCATGCCCGCAGACGCGTCAGATATGTATGCCGCTACGAAGGAAACCCTCGCTCGCGTGCAGCGCATGATTCCACCGATGCTGGATCACTTCCACAAGGGTATGCTTTCCCTCTCGCAAGAACAATCGCATCAGCACTGACGGTGGACATGGACAGGACAGCTCGGCCGTGTCGGCGTCCTGGGAGGCAGCGAAGACTATACTGGCGCGCCGTATTTCTCGGCCCATGGCCAGCGCTCGCTTAGGATGCGATATGGTGCCTTTCTCTTTCTTGCCTACCGGCTCTATATCTCGATCACCTGTCGGCTAACCCTTCGGCAGTCTCACGTCATTTGCACACCGGCCGCCGCCGCTGTCATCAAGACCTACTCGCCCAACCTCATGGTTCATCCATTGATGCGCCAGTCGCCCACCGCAACCGCAGACACGCGCTCCTCGACTGACACCAGCAAGAAGAACGCCGAGACGGACCCAGAACGGATTGCTTCAAGCGTGGCCGACATGTTGCCTCGACTTCACGTGCTCGTCATCGGACCAGGCCTCGGCCGCGATCCGCTGATGCAGGCAACAGTGGCACGAGTTGTGCGTGCCGCGCGCGAGCGGGACATTCCCATCATCCTGGATGCTGACGCGCTTCTGGTCGTGCAAAAGGATCCTAGCCTCGTGCGTGGTTATGCGAAGGCAGTGTTGACGCCCAACGTAGTCGAGTTCTCACGGCTGTGTAAAGCACTAGGTGTCGATGAGGATAAAGTCACGTCTGAAGGCGGCGAGACTGGCAAGGTGGAGGCTCTGGCCAGGGAACTTGATGGCGTGACCATTATTCAGAAGGGGGCCAATGATTATATCTCAAACGGCAAGACAACGCTTGTTGTTGATCTCCAAGGTGGCAAAAAGCGCAGTGGCGGACAAGGCGATACACTAACGGGGGCTATCGCTACGTTCCTGGGGTGGAGGCACGCATATCTTGAAGGCCTCTGGGATCGAGGCGATGCTACACTAGCTGAGGACGAGCTGATCGGACTTGCAGCATTTGGAGGAAGTGCAATCACCAGAGTACGTGCCGGTTGCACTCGAAGCCCGAGCACAGAAAGGAATGTCAAACTGACTGTTCCTTAGGAATGCTCGCGACGAGCCTTTGCAAAGAAGGGACGGAGCCTACAGGCGAGCGATCTTACCGACGAAGTCCACAACGCTTTTATGTACTTGTTTGGTGACGTCGATGGTGACGCGGAGACCTCCAAGCTATGATAGTACCGCAGTCTCGACTGAGCATGGGCGTTTTGCGAGCATCGAACGAACACACGGCAAACACGATATATGCGCATCTTACGCAGCGTTCAACAATTGCTAGGCGTCTTCGGAACGGAAAGCAAAAAGACCTAATGAACCTTTATCAAGATGGTAGTGAGGTGATCGCAGAGTGGTAGCTGTCAGCTAATCTTGGTTATGTCTAGTCATCTTGTCTACTTATTGTGCGGCTCTCTATCTCACACTCGGCCTTTTCAATTTTGCAAGACGTACAACTGGCTTCAATTTATCACATTGCCACCGCCCGACGTTCATCCAACACTTGCTCTACTAATACCATCATTCCAGCTCGATGCCTTTCTTCCACTGACTAGATTCCCGAAGCCACAACTTGAATGTCTGCAACCTCGGCTCCTGCTCTCGCAACCTCGCCAAATCCGCCGCGTAGCCGGCTGTCCTGAACCACGCAAAGCTCTTCTCTGCATCCTTCACCCACCATAGCACCGGCCACGCGAGCATAGAATATGTTAGTGGCAACTCCTCGCCAACCGCCTTCCGAAACACCTCTTGCAGCTCATGGAAACTGATCTCATCCCCAGCCAGCGCGACCGCTTTGCCTGTCCAGGCGTCAGGCTCCATCAGCGCCCTGGCCGCAAACACTCCAATGTCTCGCGTGCTGACGAGTTGCATCCGTCGATCGGCTGGCATCCCCTCTCGCCACAGCGTCGCCATGAAAGCACCGAAGAAGCCAGGGTTGTACGTGTCCATGAACCCTGTGGGACGGAGGATAGTCCACCTTACCCCGGCGTGGTCACACGCCTCGCGGAGTCGCAGCTCGATGCGGTGCTTGGCCGCAAAGTGAGGAATGTCGGTCGGAGCCGACCAGCTTGCTATATCGCCGCCGCGGTCGACACTTGTGAAGACGATGTGGTCTACGTTTGTGTCGGCTGCGACGGCTGCCTCGATCAGTGGCAGCGCTTGCCGCTCGTCGTTAGGCGGGGTGGTGACGAGGAAGACGCTGGAAATGGTTGGATGGGCAGCAAAGATTGGACCCGGATCTTGCGTATCGCCCTGCACGAGGATTATGCTCGGAAATGCTGACTTGAGAGCCTGGGCCTTGGGTGATGTTGTCGACCTCGTGAGGGCGAGGATGCGCCGAAGAGGGTTTGACGGGGCTGGTGCGAAGAGAGCTTCAATGACCGATCTGCCCTGGTTACCAGTGGCACCGACGATGAGGATATCATGGGACATGTTTAACCTGAAATTTATGTAAGCGAAGGTTTTACGAAGTGGTAGATCTCTCTCTTCGCGAACTCCATTCATGGCTGACCCTCCTCCATATGTACCTAGGGGCTCGGAGACTTCTTCTGCCTGCGGCGACTTTTGCCCAACAGCGAGTTCGCAGAAGTAGAATGAACAGCCAACAAAGGCCCAACGTCCATATTTAGAATCGAAACACCGACATGGCGATTCTTCAATGTCGCATCAATTGGTGTCAATCCTGCGATAGGCGAAGACCTTATCAAACGCCATCTGAAGTTTTGTTTCCCAATGCCAGCGGTCACCACACTTCTGTCATGGCGAAAGCCAATGACATTGAGACAAATACCCGCAGGTGTACTAATTCAACAGTATGCTGCTGCAAGATTGAGCGAAGATACAATTGATCATCGCTTTGTTGTCCTCGAGATGCTGCCGTCTTCTAGCCAGGTCAATACCCATCTCTTATCTTAAGACCTTTCCACGACACGGGACGTCCACCTAGCTTCCTTGCCCATGTTGGTGCGATAGAAAAAACAAAAATGTAGGCAGGAAAACAACATCATACTCTACCATTTAGACCTTGGCTCGGTTAGTATGGTCATTTTTGGTACGGTTCCCGAACCGAAACGAACGCGAGGGAGCCGCAGCCCAGTTCATGAGACTGACAAATTGGACCATGTATCCTGATGACTTCTCATGAGAAACCGCTCGTGTTCTGACGAGGCCTGGCCGCATCAATGATGCAGATGAGCTCCTGAGATACTGGCACGAGTCTCGAGCACACTACGACCGGGACGACATGTGGCGAGTTCATTCTTCTTCTCCTGAGCCCCTGGACGAAGTAAAGCAGGCTCAGATGATTTCTCGCAGGGCGTAACACGCCATTGAGTGCTCTCGAGATGAGCATGGCGTGACGAAAGCTCCCACGGTGTAATTGTTCGGCTGCCAGCAGAGCTTGACTGTTTCGCGTGCTCCAACCAGTGGCCGCATGCACTCAGGCGCTAACATGTAGAAGAAATAGAGCGCCTCTGGGACTAGTGAGTGTGCCATTCGTTGACCGCTCTGAGACCGGGCTGGACCTCTTGAAGACGACCCTTGACGTATCCCGCCACGACAAGCACATCGTTTTGGCCACCCACCAACTGATGTCATCTCCACCACTTTTGATCATCCCCTACCAAAGAAACACAAAGGCAAGACACCCCTCTGCCGAAGGGGGCCGTACAAGGTCCCGACAAGGAGCGGAAACCGGTGTCGAAACAGTAGATCTCGTATTGAGGTGGGCGGACCCATGAGCAACAATCATGTCAGAGCTTGCAATGCACACCCAGCCCCTGAAAGCAAGCACCATGTCGATTGCCAACAAGGTTGCGGCTGGTTTCGAGATAAACGGCGTAAAGCAACGCCTGTGCTGCTCACACAACTGCTGCTTCTCCGACCAACCACCTGATGCGTGTTGAAATGGCTCAACTTGGTGATCTATCCAATTGTCAAGCTACGGCCACTGTGACGACGGGCGCATCCTATTCCGTTCCTATTGATGCTGGCTTGGAAACACGCCACTGATCGGACGCGGGCAAGGCGTCCCACACGACATGGCTCGGTCTTCTGACTGTGAACCTGCGAATAAAGGGCTTCGAAAGCTGGCAATGCCGCTTCAGGAAGCTCGAAGAAACAAATTGGTGCACCGTCATCTACTGGCTCTCGTGTTGGCTCGGTGGCTGAGACGGGGGCAAATGAATGACTGCAGAAGCAATAGTGTCCACGACACTTCTTGGTCCCCATCCGGGGCCGTACCCTGACCTTGCTCAGTCTTCATCAACTTTTCACAAACACCTTGTGCTTGGAGAATCATGCGTTATTCACGGCGAAACAGAGGCTTGCTCCTGATGGCTGATCGCGTGAAAGCCCTGTCGCCATGTGGTGAGAAACATGTCGACTCAGGGACCGCAACGTGGAGGATACCCACTACAAGGACGACAGAAGAAAGTCAATCCCGGCGTTGTCGTATTCTCTTCATCCGCGTCTACTCAGCTTTTGATATCTGGAGAAGCCAGATTGTGAGACGAGACGATACGATGCCCGTGATCAGTGAAAAGGGGGCAGCACAAAAGTGAGAGATCGAAACTCGGTGGCGGACGCGGCAGCCAGTAATGACCAAGCAGAAGCGAACGAGACCGGAATAATAGATTCGAACGAGTACAGTGCCACCTCTACACGTTTAGTCGATGACCACAGTCCCACGACGGCTTGGGATCACAAGTCCGACGTCAGGGACTGCCAGATGCAGGCACCCGAAGAGAGGCTACTCGACCCAGGCGCCGCCCGGAACCTCGGTGCTCTCGCGTAGCCTGATTGTTGCCGCTAACGGAGCTTAGGATCTTTTCATCCGCGATCCTGCACTCGCAAATCAAGACCATGCAAGGGCGTCGGCATCTGCGCCAAGACTTTCGCTATTCGTGGGGATTGAACGCAAGGAGCACCGACTCCATGCACTTGCAAGATTGGCGTTGCTGCTCAGTCTCGAAGTGCACAGTGAAGAAAATGTTGCGGCGCTGAGACATGGGATAATGCCCATGGTGCAAACCAAGCCGTAGAAGACGTCAACAACGTGAAGCGGTAGTCTCAAGTCAAACATGGGGGTCACGACGAACCTCCCGACGAACAGCGCGATACATGGGAAGCAGGATCAAAATCATGTTGCGCCTGTGGCGGTTCGCGTGATTTCGCTCAACGTGCGCCTAACTCGCTTTCCGAGTACATGGCATGGCGGTTCAGCGACGTCGGATGGCGACATTGCTGCGTCGCGCCGGCGTGGGACAAGTTTCCATCTCCTCCTGATGCGGTATGGCAATCCAGCGTGAGCTATCTCTAGCTGTGAAGACGCTATCTTCTCAAATCTAGATGAAACTGGCTTGAGCGGTATCACAAGAGGGACACTCTCGACTGCAGGCCCAATGGGCATCACGACTGTGCCCCTCTCCCGTGCCCTGGCAGTTTGGCTCCGCCACGAACCTGCCAGAGCGAACTGTCGACATGCAAGATAGGACCCCCATCACGGCCGGTTCAGATGATCGTTGGATGTGTCGGGTGACTGGTTGCTGGGTTCCGGCTCAGTGCACACCATACCATCAGAGAGTGCACCCAAAAGCAACCCACATGTTGATACTCATCTGCTGCTGGTCTGTCTTCTTCCTTCCTGTACTTGGCCAGGACACGACATACCTCAGTCAGAGGATGCTCAACGTTGCTAAGGAACCAGCCGATTGCAACCATGCGCGTCTATCGTCGATGTAACACTGCAGGATCTCACGGTAGATCCGGCAGCATCGACTGTTATGGCGCGTCTTGCGATACCGCCCCCCGACACTTCGGGCTCGCATACTCTACACCGTAGTCGCGGGGGTGATAAGTGACAAAACTCAGGATTTAGTCGGTCCAAATGACAAAACGACCAGGGTTTCTGTCGAGTCATACTTCACGCCATCCATGTTGGTGAGGGATGAGGACCGCTAGCAGATAGACATTGCTTTTTTTTGACATGACGCGAGTGGGTGGGTGTTCGGCGGGGTGATCGGAGGTCAGTGGCTGGCCAGGTTGCTGGGGTACCGGGGACCGATACCAGCAACCCCGCGTGCCGGGCCCTGGCAGCACCGCGAGGCCCAAGCTCTGGGGCCTGTGGTCCGAACGGGTCAAAATTGTGACCGATGAGTAAGAAGTGCTGCATGTGCAGATATCGCGCATCAACTCGATGCGTCTGCTTTCCACCGAAGCGAACGCTGACCGCATTTACGTTTGGCAGAGCCGCTGTTGGGGAAGGCCTATTCAGGACGTAAGCTAAGTGGCGCAGGCCGCAACGGGAGGTCGTGCGTTTGGCCATGGACTAGCATCGAGTGCGCACTGGCTAGGCTCGGGTTCGGCCTCGTGCTATTCTCGCGATGTCCGCCTGGCGTGAGACATGACGCAAGGAGAAACCAGGCCAGTCTACTGGCGAGGGCGAATTGAATGCGAAGAGGTCGCAGATGGTTTTGCTCCCAAGTTCCCTGAGTGACCGCCAGGGAGAAGAAAACAAGGCACACCTGTTGCTTTCTACGACGTTTCCAGAGTTTTCCAGCACTAACACTTGCTTTTTCAACCGTCCAAGCAGCTGATCAGGAGGCGAATTGACATGCATCGTTGGCTCCAACAGAGGCAGAGGATTCTTCGCGGGTAAGCAATGTCCGCTTCCGCGATTGGAGGCCAAGGCCGTGGAACAGAAAAGCGAGCTGGAAGAAGTCGTGTTGTCAAGCCCGCAGAAGGTCGGCTAGCCGCCACACAGAAGTCTGGCCTGGAGAATTGGAAGTGAAGTGAAGGCATGGCCCGCCCCGGTGTCACATCAACGATTGTCGCAGGTCGTTCATGCCAATGTTCACAGGCACCGCACTGAGCCGATATAGGGTTTGACAATGTGATCAACGAACTGTGGCCACCACGAAGAAGGCTTTTCAACGTGTCGAATCGTCGTGGTGAACTTTAGAATCGGAAGAACGCCAGGGTTATTCTGCGTGGACGGACGTTGGTTTCGGGCTCTGGCCAGCCAGAGGGAAGACCAGGCCCGCAAATTGGTGGAGAAGCAATAGGCCGTGCGCTGATAGCTGCATCATGATCCCTGGCAGAGTAGTGTGTATGCTCCTACAGTAGGTCTAGGCGACCTCGAAGTGTTTCTTGGAGCACGACAATGGTGAGCATTCCTTTTCCCTATACTCGCTGCGCGCCAGGATAACACGTCCCTCCCCCTTCCCATAGACCCAAATGGGTTCGATGCTCTGAGTCGTGGCAAGTAATCAATGGCTGCGGACAGGTTCTGGATCTAGCTGCAGTAGACCAGCAATAGATGGAGGCGCTTCAGCTACTGTCTGAGACTGGTGTCGAGGCAGTCTCTCCAACAATGCCCCATGACGCATCGAGGGAGAAGGGATTGGGCGACGGCACCAACCAGCGTCGCACAGTGCTCCTGGAGACGGGGAGAAAGCAGATGATGTGATACAGACCATATCGAGGCCCTCGTTTGCATTGTCTGCGCCGCCCGTCCATCCCGCCCGTCGTAGTGCGCCGCCAACCAGGCCAGGGCACGACTGACCAGGCCTCATAAGGCGAGAGCATTGTGAATGGCACAACGCAGGGCCTCCCCTACCCGCCAGGTGAGGGTATATGACAGACATGTGGTTCTTTGTCTGTGCTCGCGGAGCAAAGGCGAAGATCAGCCAGGGAAAGGGGGCCATTCGACCACGCTCCTCGACTCGATTGACGAGACAGCAATGGTAGCTCAGTTCTCCTGAACCAACCATCGAAGGAAACCCCAGCGAGCGAGGGAGGGGATCCAGTGTCGAACCTGCTCGAACGCGGCAGGGTGTCCGATGATCCCAGAGAACTGTATATCCTGTAAGGATCAGGAGGGGAGGCCAGGTTCTTGCGTGTGTTCGCTGGTCATGGCCCTCGGATTCTGTAACTTGTCATATTTGCAGCAGCTCAAGGTTGAAAATGCTGGTTGTAAACGATAGAGGAAAAAGGAAGCAGACTGTGAAGTACGTACGTAGAGGGCCCAGTGGTGGAGCACGAGACGACGACGAGAACCTAATGAAGTACAAAGTGGAGGAGGATCAGGCCCGTTCGCCTGCGCGCTCAGGGCACTGTGATCCCTGCCGGTTACCTGCTTCAGGCCCCTGAAAGCACCAGAGGTACAAGCTTGGATAAGGTACCTTACAGTGTGGATATGACGACCTCAGTGGAGCCTCTCATTGGGGAAACGTGAGCAGGAGCAAGGGCGATGATGGGTCATACTCGTAGCCTCGAGGCAGGAGCCGGGTCGGTTCTGTTTTCTATCACCTGCAGGTGTAGCTGCACCGGCTCAGCACCGGCGTCCAGCCCAGCTCAACCCGGCCCGCTTGATGCTTCTGGCGCCCGTAAGCGAGCAAAGTAAGTACAGCCAACGGCTAGACCGAGAAACAGACAGACGCGGTCGAGTCTTTTCATCAGCTATTGTTGTCCTGTCATATCGACAGGCCGAGACTTGCTGCGTTGCTCGAGACGTGTAAGCCTTGGGGGGACTCGGGTACTCCAGCAGACACTGTGTGTGGGTGCCAGGATCAGGGCCCCCTCTTGCCATTTTGAGCTCCAGCACCCCATCTTGCTCGTCACTTCCTCGACAGATCTGACGAAACTCTCAAGAGGCTCGAGGGTGGCAGTCGCGCCCATCGGAACGCGCCTTCCTTCTGTTGCACCTGACCCGTTGACCCGTTGTCGTGCTGCTGTTGGTACATGTATCGCCCCTTCTGCTGTCCCTGTTGTCCCTGCTGTTTCAACTGTTCCTGCTGCTTCTGCCGTATTTTTTCACGCCAGTCCCGTCACACCACCATCCCGCCCCTCCGCCTGCTACTGCCCGGCCCCGTGTCCGTCCCATCTCGACGCCCTGCACCGAAAGCTGTTGTGGCTCTGCCGCGTCGTCTCTACCACATTCAGGCTTTTATTTGTTTCGACAATCGGATCTGGCTAGCCGCCACGGCTGCCATTAATCTCCTTGCGACCGCGCTCGAAATTTTGTAACCGAATCCGCAACACTTCACGTCTCTCGCAAAGCCAGGCGACGACGCCTGCACCACGCTGCTTGGCTTACAACACCAACATCACAAGAGCAGCCACAAACCACCACAAAGCCGAATCCTTCACGCTCGACTCGCACCACGCCGAGACCAGAGCCGTCGACTTGTGTAATTGTCTCGACGCCTCTCGTCCCTTCATCGGGTCACTGTGTCGCATAGTTCCTGATTCGCCCCTCACGCGTGTCTGGCATACAGCATCTCTCGAGACAATCGTCCTCACTTGTCTCATTGCACCCTCTCTCCTTACCTCCCTCCACCATACTCCCGGCCGCCCAGCGAATTCACCCTTGTGACTTCCCGTGGCCGCAGTACAACCGAACTATTCCTCGTTCATCATTTCGATCGCTTCAGCAAAAACTCCCTGGTACGCCCCTTGGATACCCACGAGCCCCCCCCCCTTGGAGACCACGCACCACTTCCCTGCGACGTACGAACAAATACTGGCACTCAACAACCCGAGGAGAGCCTTTCTGCGGAATCAGTCTTGCCACCGCCTCTCTTGGTTCGTCTCACACC